TGGGTAATCTGTGGAATTAAAAATCAGTATCAGCACCGAGTAAAACTTAAGCCTGAACGCTCACGTATTACTTTGATCTGGCTTGTTATGCCAGTTGTTGGGGCAGATTCGAATTGCTTTGCAAGGCAAGAATATGACGAGGAAATTTGGGAGGTATAGTGGACAGTTTCATGGTACCAACAAGGAGTTTAAATGAGTTAGTTGGGTATTGCAGTGATTGGTGAATAAAAAAAATGAATAACTTAAAGCCAATTAGTTTGCTAATTTTTGTTCAAGAATGCTAGTGACGGCGTCAGCCGCGTCACCTATCTCCATGCCATTGTCCTGGATTGTTACTGACCCCATAGGAGAAGGACACCAGCGTTTGGCCAAAGCTTCTACCTCCACTTTCATTCACACGATATTTGATTGTAGAAAATTATTTGCCTTCGTGATGGCTGCAACCCAGACTAAGACCTTTGGGTTGCTTTTTTGAAGCACTTGACGATGACAAGAAAAGACGTCATTCTCAAAAGAGTTTATAAGCACCGTTTGTCTATAAATCCATGCCAGCGGAGCCACCGTATGTTAGGGAAGCAGGTCCACATAACATGGACCTCTGCAAATTTTTTCACCATTTTAAAGGAACAAATTGTGCGCCACTCAGCAGAACTGGATTGAAATGATGTCGGATTATTTAATACAATTATCACGATATTGAGGAATCGTAGGTGGCCTTAATTAGAAGTGCACAGGCGGATGAAACAGTGGTAATGGTTATAAATGCCAACTTTAACGTAATTGGTTCTACAAAATAAAAGTCATCACCGAGGATAAGGAAGGGTATATTGTGCATCATGATCATTCGCAGTGTTCTCCTTTCAAGTTCCTACTAGTTGGCATTACCTATGGTTGCACCTCGATTACTGTAAGAAGGTGAGAGGGTGATCGATCCTTGTCTTCAGTCACGTCTGAATGTACCACCAGCTATTAGAGTTGCATATGTTATAGGTTTTCCCTTTGCGTGTATGGCAACAAACATTGAATAATCAGCCAACAGTAGGCACAGCTAAGACCACTATCCTATGTACTGACCAATTCCCACTTCTCGCCTATCTTCGCTCCCCCACCACCAGTATCAACACTCTTACAAGGCTGATCACAGCCGATTACGAGATTTCACAAAAAATTGATGCTAAGATAATTAGACCATATGTTCTTGAAATGGAGAGAGTCTAATGAGATTACAAGAGGAGCATCGAAACAAGTAGATTAGGAGGATGTTATAAAATAGGTGCAGCTAGGTGTGCATGC